ATCAGAAGTCCCATCTGGCCGCCACGTCTTCTGCTTGCACATGTGGCAGCTGCCAAGCACACAATCTTGCAGGGTTTTCTAGCTGCTTTCTCAGCCACAGCATTTGGACTACTCTGGGAAATCCATCCTCTCCTGAGTACTTTGCACTTTCCAAATGAAGTGCTGACCCTGTGCTAGGCTTCACTTCAGTAGGATCTCCTCTGCTGCAAGCCCAGATAAATGGCAGGGAGGGAATCACCACAGGATCGAAGTTTAACACTGGCATCTGGTTGCAAAGAACTAAGATTTTTTTACTATTATTTTGTCACTGATTATCATTAAAAAAATAAATGAAAACAGATTGCAGTCAGTCAATAAATGACAATTTCCCAGCTGGAGAAATGCAAGCCCGAGGTAAGGCAAGGAGGTCTGACTGCATGCGTCTCATCGGTGTGTGAGGGGCTGGGTGGCACCTTTTCTCAGGGCAGGTTCTCCAAGCCCTATGAGCAGGTTGGCTATGCCCCATGCCAATGCCAGGTCTGCCACATGGGGCAAAACCACAGCTCAGCAGCCTCACCTTTCCTGCATATCTTGCTGCATGCAGGGTGCTGAGCCTCGTGGGGACCTGTGCACACACATATACACAAGTGCAGAGCCAAGGGCTGCAGCCCAGGCTGGTGGCAGCTCTTGCTCTTTTTTGAGTGCCGTTGCTCATGTAGGCTTTGCCTGGAGGTGCCCCAGCCCCTCCCCCAAGTGGAACAGAACAGCAAACAGCCCTTCCCCAGCCCCCTTTGCGTACTGACCTTGACCTCAATACCATAATCCACTTCAGCCATAAGCAATTGCAGAGCATAGCAGGTCACTCAAGGATATATTTTCCAGCTCTGCTGTGGGTCACAGCTCACCATAGTGGTGCTGCTTGGGAAGAGCAAGCTACCTGCTACCTCACTTCCCTACCCTTGGGCTCTTCTGGTGATGCCCAGTGATTTCTACATCCAGCATCTGATGTACATCCCACAGTGCCAAAAATCTGCAGGGGCTATGGAGTGGGGGGCTGCCTCTTTAATGACATCGAAATAACTGCTCTCCTCCAGCCCCCAGGAGGTGCTGGGTGAGCAAACGATCCCCACGCTGGGTTGCAGGGAACAGGCATTGAACTGTTTGGCAGTTGCAATCAGAAGCCTTTTTTTTTCCTCCAACGCTGGTCAGCAGCTGTGTTGTTTATAAAATGAATGGAGCCCTTAATGAAGCAATAGAAACAGTGAGAGGCTGTGTCTCTCTGTTACAAAGGGCTGAGGGGGGAAGGGTTGATCTCTTAAAATACCCTGACATCCTTTCTCTCAGTTATTTAAACATTAGGCGTAGCAGCGATCTGCTATCAACATAAAACCTATATTTGGCTCAGTAGAAACACTAAATCCACACATCAAAACAGCTGCACATATATACAGACCCGGAGAAGCTTTGGGTTCCAGTGAATGTGAAATAGTGCAAAACTGCACAAAAATAGTACAAAAAAAAAAAAAGGGCAGATGGCATATGGGAAGGGGGATGAGCAAGCTACAAGCAGAGCTTGCAAGACACAGCTCAACATGTTGTGGTAGTAGAAACAACAGAGTGCGTCAGTGGCACATTGAGGATTGCAACAGATACGCTGCCCGAAATGCAAAAACAGACAGGGAGAGGATTCCAGCACTGGAGAGAAAAAAATAAGCAGCTTTGCTATAAACTGTTCTCTCTCCAGCTCAGTCCATGGCTTGCAACACATGACATTAATCATAAACCCCCAAAACAGATCTAGGTTAAAGTTTCCAGCTGTTCAGTCTCTAGAGATTTTTAAAGAGGAAACCAGCATCCTTCAGCACAAGAGTCCTACTGTGCTGACATGGTATTGGCCCATCCTGTTCTTGCCAAGGAGGAGCAGGAGAGGGAGGGGAAAGCCATCTTGCTGTTTAGCCAGATTTTTGTACAGTAGATGTCAAGGCCCAGGCAGAGGTGGGAAGACCTCACATGTCAGCAATGACATCGTTTCTGCTGCTGGATTTGAGGAGCACCGCCATAGCAAAGATTTGGTACTGAGATACATTCATGCATTCAGGAAGACCCTTGGTCCCTGAGAGCCCATTCTCCTCTTCCAGTCCTTATAACACAAAAGCACTGTAGAGGGTGAACTGTTTCTTTTTTTGGAAACTTCCCATTCTGAATTTCCTCCATGTCACAGGAGCTCCTTGCTCCATGGTGGCCATTCATCCTTTGAGAACCCCAATTCATCTTTTCTGGTTTAATAGCACTACAATATCCAGGTTATTTCTGTCTCCAGGAATAACACAGAAGTCAGCATTTGCAAGATCTAGGAAGAGGGTTTATATTTTTTTAATAAATCTGCAAGCCACTTGCAACTCTTCAGTTACCCCACAAGCGAAGGATGCCAGGAGATCAGCACTGCAGGGAAAGGGGAGCCACAAATCCTTGCAAATGTTGAGATACCACTCCTCTATGCTGTCCTCTGGCCTTTCTGTACAGGTACACACTGTTCCTTGCCAAATGAATACTTTTTGTTGCAAAGCTGACATTTACAGTGGTCCTAGCAATTCCTTGCTGCTCAGAAGTGCTCGCCGATCCCTTTGTGCTGCAAGAAGGCTTGGATGCATTCCTCCCCGTTAAACAAAAATAAACTGCCCAAGCTTGGCAGGCACACCATGGTGTCCTTGTGGAAAAAACGATTAGCCATTCCCAGAAAAGCACAGTGAAGAGCATAACTTTGCCCTTCTTTTGTAAGATGAGTTGGCACAGGTTCCTCCCATTTTCACTGGCACAGGCCATGGTTAACCAAGTCAAGCCCTGTGCTGCTGTCAGTCCAATCACAACTGCTGAATCATCACATCTAGCAGAGCCTTGACTCAGGTATGCCAAATATTTGCTTTTGCCTCATCCCATCTTAGGATTTTTTGAGCTATGGGAGGGAAGAGCAGCCCAAAATAGTACCAGCAAAGCACAAACCCACCTGTCCCTGCAAAGTCCAAGATGTTGATTCAGTCACTAGGTAAGAGCACCTAATTAATGCAAAAAATACAACAGATCCATTTTGGTGACTGAGCTATTTTATCTTCTCCCTACCCCCTCAATGAACAGCATCAGTGCTCCCAGCTCCCCTCTGACACATGGAAGGAAGCCTCCAAGCCTGCAGAAGAATCACAGAATGCTTTGAACTGGGACAGACCTTAAAGCTCATCCAGTTCCAACCCCCCTGCAGTGAGCAGAGACAATTTTACCAGATCAGGTTGCTCAGAGCTCCATCCAACCTGGCCTTGAATGTTTCCAGAGATGGGTTATCTATCATCTTTCTGGGCAACCTGTTCTAGTGTTTCACCATCCAAGAAGAAGAGTGTTTCCTGGTGAAGGGCAGATAGTGCTCAAGTTACAAAAAAACCCCCTGCAATCTTTTAACAGGAAGCCACTGAGATAAATAGAAGCTTTAAGATGACCAGCACTCATATTAGCATGAAAAAGGACAACCATACTTCTCCCTTAATGACAGAACTAAAACAATGATTCCTCTCCCTCTTGTATCTGGGGATACTTCACTTATTTGTGAAGGGTTAATCTTTTCTCTCCTTTTCTGTAGGGGTCCAAAAGGTACAGCTGTTAGAAACTCAAAGGGACATCTGCAATGTCAGTCAAGAGGCCCAAATACCTCCAGAGATTGGTGAAGAATGTGTCACACAAAGGATTTACAGATCAGACTGGGAAAAGAAAGGATGCAATGAGCATGGCCACCAACCTAGTGAGGAAATCAGTGTACAGGCCAAAGATCTATGCACTAGACAGTGCTATACCTAGGGAGAAAAAACTTCAAACAGCAAATAGTAGTCCATACCAAGCCCTCATTATGTATTCCTTAGAGCAAAATTATCCTTTAGTACTATGAATAGCCAGTCACACCTAATACTGAAGTGTGTCGTGTTTTCTTAGTACAAATATTAGGCTGGAATGGAAAAAAAAAACCAAACATCTCTGAGCACAAAAGTAGGGAAGGCAGAGATACGAGTAAAAGAAAAAATATTTCGTTGATACAAAGGGGTGACAACAATATATTCCCACTGAGAAATACTATTGCACTCGTGGTAAAACAGTAAGACACCAGACACTGCAAAGTTACAAATTTATTTGTTTTGAAATAAATACAAATACTTCATTAAGAAACTTTTCTTGATAGACTTTACACAATAGCTTTATTCTTTCTGGAAATTGTCTGTTCTTCCCACAAACTGTTATGGATATTCTACACAAGAGCTGAAGTTAGTCAATATAAAGTAACCTAGATCGTGTTCTTCTGAACAAGCAATCCCAAAGTATTAACTTTTGCTATTTAACTGCTCAGCATTCGAGTTTTCTTGTTTGTGTGAGGAGCTCGGGAAATCCTGTCCCGCTCCCTATGGAAGGACAAGCTTAAGAACACCCAAGTGTGAAAATCTGACTGGCGGAAAGGTATCAAGCCACTAGCATTGAAGAAAGTAACCCAAGGTATCAGGAGGCTACGTAAAGATGCAGAACCAGCAGATCATTACATGTACACCGTCATTAAACATCGTATTTCATGGATACGGTGTTGCCACTTCACCACTTTGTGGAATACACTTCTCAGCACCAGTGAGATATCATCAGAGTTTCAAATCTAGTAATTAGTGACAGTTGAATGTACAGTATCTAATTACATGCCATCCCACAGTTATTCATTTCTCCTGACAAAGAACAGCTGGATCTGGCTTCGCTTACAGAATTCCGAATTTATCACAATTGTGCTGGACACAAAAACTTGAGCTGCAGAGATAAGAAACTGTCTGAAGGAAAAATCAAGCTGTTTCTGCTTTGCTGGCATGTATGGCTAACCCTACTTGTTACAGCTACACCAAGATTTGCTGTTTGGTAAACCCTTTGGCCCAAGATCCCAAAGGAAAAGCTATCTTGCTTATTAAATTTAAAGTCCTGTCCTCATTTGCCTAAGCAGGTTTTAGGGTCTAGGAGGGTGGAAGGAAAGGAAGACTGGAACTAAATCTCAAAAAAAGTGAAATAAAAAAGCTTAAAGATTTAGTTTGTCTCAAAGTCACATTAAAATTGCCTATTTTAGTAGTATATTATTGTACATAGGAAAACAGGCTTGAATACTAATGAATTAGAAGGCCTATAAATGCACGATACATTAACTTCTCTATCATTTGAAGTCAAGCTATATACAATGAATTCAACTCCAGCTTCAACATGAGGCCATAGCACATTTGCTTTGTTTCCTTCTATAAAAGCCATCCACAATAGCGATTTATTTCTCCCCCTCTTTGAAACTCAAATTGTGCCAGTTTACTCCAACAGAATAAGATATATAGGGGCATGTAACAGCTTTGATTTTAAAGGAGGATATTATGCAAGTCTGCTTTGACTCTGAAGTGTTTACAACCACATCAGCTTTTGGCAAGTATCCTTTAGAATTTGGCATCCATTGAAGGAGGGCACAATAGCAGCAACTGTCTGAGTTACACGAATAACGATAGAGCAAATGAGATGCTTCTTTTCTTTGGTCCCTGTCAGACCCTGGTGAACAGAGTTCATCCTACAGAATAGCTTGAGATTAATACCAGGTATGTTTTTGTGATACACAGGGGGCATCCATTACTTTTTCACACTGACCAGTTTAAACCTCCCACCTCCATTTAACAGGACACTTCCATGGACTTGGGGCTTGATTGTTCAGTGTTGCTGGCTGAGTTCGGCGTCAGCTCGATGCGCGTGTCGGTGTGGGAGCGGTTCCTGGCACCATCCCCAGTGTGGGATCGGCTCCGTGTTCCCTCCCCGGTGTGAGACCGGCTTCTCGTGCCTTCCCCAGTGTGAGACCGGCTCCTCTGTCCTTCCAAGGACGTTACGCTGGAGCCAGAAGCAGTGCGGGACCTCATCAGCCTGGTCATGCTAGCAGAGGGGACTGGAAGAAGAGTCTTTTGTTAATGCCTTGCTTCATGGGCCCTTGCCTTACTCTCCAGTCCTAACCACCCTTGGAGAAGCCTTCAGGGTTCCAGATACATCTGTCACAGTGACTTCATGTGTAGAAGTACCACTGCTCCAGGCATACAGTTAAGGACTCCAAATTACCACGGCAAAACTGGCAGCCAGGGCTGAGGGATTCAAGGCAGAGCTTTATGGTGTATTGCTGTGATTGCAACAAGCCAGAGGAAAACTAAAGAGACTCATTAGACCTCCCGTTACATGTTTAACCTCTGCTGGCAACCCAGGCCAGCCATGCATCTACACAACAGCAGTTGTCAGAAGGAGAAACAGCTACACATCAAAACAGTCTCTGAACTAACAAGGTTTTAAATGTTGTGTGCAGCATATGAATCATCTCCTGTGATGCAATGAGGGGGGACTTTATTACAAATATCCACCTTAAAAATATCAAAGATAAAGTAAAGCAGGTATCTGTGGGTATAAACTGTCTACAAAGCTCTCCACTACTTACTAACATAAGTTGGTCTGAATATCTAAGGGGGGGAGGGGAAATCACACATCTGGGATCATAAGACTCTCTGGGTGCTCAGATGGCCAACAGACTTCGGTAGCCGGATGAATGATTCCATAAAACCAGTACTTACTGTATCCCATTCCCTGCACAAAGTATTTGAAAGCTTCTGCAAGCTTGGCAGGCTGCAAAAGAGAGAGAGTATTATTGTATACAGTGCTCAGCAATTATGTTACAATGTTCTAGATGCCATAGTTGTCCTGCCTTAACATTTTAAATATTCCTTGGATTTTACTGAATGTCTGAAAAATTCATTCATATGAGAGAACTCCACCATTCCCGTCTGTCCTTTGCTCCTCCGCCCTGTCATTTTACCAAATGGACACATGCGTTTGAGAATGAGATATGCAGAGAAGTTACTACAAGTGGTCAAAGCCTGGCCCAAACTTCACTTGTGATGTTACTGAGGCAGGTGAGCCAAGGTAAAACAACCAACATGGCAGAATATACAAGGCAGTCCATACAGGGTTGGTAATTGAGCAATTCCTAAATCAGCAGAGAACAAATTCAGCCAGTCAGAGCTGATAGTTGCATTTATAGGGCAAAAAAGCTCAGCAGAATACACAAGCACAACTGCCTATGACTGACATTCTTGCATGAGGCACTCGCTATTTTCCTCTGCTGCTGACACAGTGGCCAAATAAGCTTCGCAATCTCAATTACTGTGCCTGCCAATACTGCCTGTATTTTTTGCATAATTCTATCTGAATCAGTGCAAAGAACGGACTCTGTAAAACAGAAGCAACACACAATCCTGTGTGGCTTTAAAAAAAAAAAAAGCCTTTTCTCCCCTGCCACTGTAAGAGCGCACACTGCCTGTGCAGTTGCACATAATTACAAATTAATTTTTCTCCTTAAGTTCATGAATAAGTTATTCATTAAGTTCTGTGATTCTGTGATAATACTGCATTATATTGCTTAGAAATCTCTTAGGAAAACATCACATTCTAAAGCTGGTTTAGAGGTCAGCACTTCTAGTGAGGCAACACTAGAGCATAGGTAAATTTTAACTTTCCCAGCCTGGTTTTATTAGCAGCCTTGGAATTTATGCCTAAATATATTACAGAAATGCTATTTTGTTCGCAGTCAAGCCAGGTCAGTGTATGCAAGAACATAGCGTTGTTATTTCCTGCCCCCTGCTTTCTTGATCTATACTATAAATAGTCCAAATAAGAATATGTTTTTAAAACACTGGTGTTCAAGCCTTAATCCACGTTAGCTTAGTAGATAGGCATAAAATAATACCTCCGCATTCCCACCTCAGACCTTTACGTGGTTAAGACTCAATTAGTGGAAATAATATCCCCTCCCAATCTTAGTTTTGCACTTCACTGGTCTTTAAAAGAAAAAAGAAAGCTCAGATGACCAACTGACATCATTATTCATGAAATCATAACCATCCTTTTGGCTGACATTTGGGAACAGCAAGTACCCTACAGGAAAACACCCATTTGTTGCAGTCTGACACACTGCAAAACAGGATTACTAGGATTTCAGTCAGCCAAATCCTACCTGGGAAACTTGAGGGAGCCCACCACAGTCAGCCATCTGAAACAGGGACAAGAACAGCCAGTTAGCATAATGCCAGAGGAACTCATTTAGGCTCAGGATATATTAAAATGACCTTTTTAGCTATCTGGCAGAAAAACATTTCCTTTTGTTGTATGAGTAAGATACATGTAGATGAATGCATCAAAGCAAGCAGTTAAATGTTAACAAAAGCTACGACTGCACCCCAGAAAACCCCAAAATGTCTTGACCCTCAGGCAAAGCATCGGCTGGAGCTACAAAAAGTGGTTTTTGCTAGGCAGCAATTACCAGTTGATTAGAAACTAGCCTATTAGTCCTGGTTACAAGTTCAGCTCTGAATTACAGTAACGTGACTGAGTATTGACCTGAATGACAAACAAGGAAGAGGGAACAAACACCTAAACCTCTGAGGTGAGGGGGAAAAGTGATTTGCTGAGATTGCGGATGGCAAGCATCAGCCTGGCTTGCCAAGGGAAGCAGGGAAAGCCAAATTAGAAAAGCTATCTTGAGTGCATGCAGTATTTTTGGAGCACTTCATTTTTCCTGCCACTCCACCCCTCAAAGCATACCCAACAAAAACAGAGCTGTTCCAAGGAACACCACAAGCTGAAAACAGTCAAGTTGTGAATTACAGGAAACCCCAAATCCTATCTAGAATTAGTTAGCAGCAAAACAGGCCTGCAGCAGGATCTGGTATCCCTGGGGTGAGCAAGGGCTGGCCACTGATAAAGGATTTGAGAAAGTGTCAGATTTTTTCTTAGAGTGAGCCTGCTGTCTCCACTTCTCAACATTAGGAGTGAAAAGCATTTAAAAAAATAATTGTTTATTATCCTTTCCACTGACCAGTTCAATAAAGAGAGATGCAGTATAAGTCCCCAATAGAAGGATGACCAAACATATTTCACCATTTGCATGTTAATGTACTCATTGCATTTTACTTCATCCATAACAAGCTGAAGATTGCACCCATACTCTGAATACCAAGTATCAGTCAAAGACTTTGCATGATGCTTTGCTGTTTGGAAGCACATTTTATCAACAGTAAGATATCCTGGACTGTGTACACATTAAATGCAGGATGACAAAGCCCTGGCTGATAGATCAGCTCTATTCCTCTGACACTACTGTGGAGGGACAGGCAAGCACAGGAACAGAGGGATTTGGTTTGCACTTTCACTGCTGATGGCTTTTTCCAACCTTTTGAAATACCTCGAGATCAACTTTGCTAGCTCTAGTCAAATTCATTATGGGTATGTGAAATACTGAGCATTTCAAGTCTCACTCCTAGGTGTTTTAAGACGGAGTAGCTAAGAAATTCCCTGTTATCCTTGACAAGAAGTCCCAAGCCTGGTTTATCCCACTAAAATACTCTCATCCTGAAGAGCTTTTCCACATCAGAATGGGATTATCACTGTGTTATCTGTACTGCAGTACATTGCTCTGGTTCTGCTTTTTTAGTTAACACAGCTGATTTTAAATGAGGAGAATATTTATTAAAAAAAACAAAACAAAACAAAAACCAAAAAAACCCTAGCTTTTATTACCTTCAAAAGTGTGGTCCTTGTTGGGTCCAGCTTTGAGTTGCATTCAACCTGTAAAGAACAGCAGTGCAAGGCATTTTAATTATGAACTGCTGGATGAAAACAGATGAAATAGCTTTTCTGGCTTAATCCAGACTAAATTTGGTATCTTAGGCTTCTGTATAAAGACTCTGTGTATACATACATCCATCTTTAAACCCAAGCAGTTCAGTTCACATTTCTGACTGAATTCTTTTCCATGTACAAACAAAACCATTAGTTAGGAATTGGGGATTTTTTAAATCTGTTTCTGGAACTCCAGTGGCAACATGCATTGTTTATCTTGTGATGTGGGGTCATCTGGTAGCGTCCCAAGCGGTGAGCAGCCACATGGCCACAGGCCAGCAGACTGGGCATGCCCATTAAGGCACAACATTTGAAGTCATCCAGTCATCTGGGGAGAGTTATAATAGTCAAAAAGAAGATCTTTGCTTCCATAGTGACCCAGGGCAGAGCTCCAACACCACCGGACAAGTTAAAATACCAGCAGCATATCCCTCTCTAAAGGAAAATATTTGCGGTTCACTGGAACTGCTGTGGCGATTGTTCCTAACGCAGTAGCTATTAAATAATGGTGCACAGAAGGGACAAACAGTGAGGAAATAATGGCAGCTCTCCCGCGGTCTGAACGAGGGGAGCCAGCTGGGCTGGATCGATAGCCAGCAAGGTTGCTGCCCGGGCATCAGTGCTGCCGGCCTCACGCAGCTCCTTGGCTCGCTGCCCCATTAGCAGGGTGGCAAAGAGGGCTCAATATACGCACCACGGCATCCACTGCTGGGGAACTGTCACCAACCACCAGGAGGACAGGGCATCTGCAAGGAACCACATAAAAGCAGCATTATCTTCGTGGTCTGGCCTGGGCTTGCCCTAAGCTTCATTTTGTGTTGCTGGAAGGATGAGACAGTTAAGTGTGTAAAAATGATTTGTTTTGTATTCCAGACACCTTAAATATAGATCGAATGCAATGTATTAACTGCAGATCTACTGACATGCTCTGATACCTTGTCTGAGAACCTGTCCTTTTCCCCACCTCATAGCAATCAGCCCTTCCCAGTGCTCTTATTCCTTGTTTCATAAGAAATTGAATGTGAGCATCAGCATCAAAGTCTCACCCTCACCCCTCAGGCCCCTGAGATGCAACTTTCAGACCTATCCATCCACTTTCAACCAGATTAGCAGAGGAGCAGAGTCTCAGACTCCTGTGTGTAAACATCAGCAGCTGAGCACAGAAGGATTTGACAACTCTTGTGTTTCACAACTTGCAGCATAAGTGAAAAGCTATTAGCGGAATATCTAGCAGATAGTCATTCTTGTACCTGCTCCATCTTTCTGAATGTTTTTTTTTTTGGTTGGTTGGTTTTTAATGGTTTTTGGGTTGGGTTTTTTTTTGGTTGTATAGGCACAGCTCAAGTGCATTTAAAGCTATGGTATCCATTAGCTACAACATATTTCTGGATGAAGCTAAGTACCTCTACTGTTCAAGTACTTACTCTGTAAGTCCAAGTTTGCAGATACACAGTGACAGGTACTACCTAACTTTCCATTTCAGCTAATACAACTGTGAAGTCTGAAGAGGAAAGTCTTCCTAATGGCTGTCCCTGACTTGCAGTAACCTCTTATCACCTACACGAAGTTACAAGATACTTTTCTAGCACATATGCAAATTCAGCTAAAGCTCTGCAATGCATATGAAATGCACCCACTGATCACACCTCTTAGCTCACATCATCTACAGGTGAACTGGTAGGAAATAAAATACTTACTGAAGTGTGACAACATTTATTCCTGGAACAGGGCGCTCAATCTCTAGGTCTCGCCGACTAAAAAAAAAAAAAACGGAGAGGATAAAGGCTCTTGATACACTGAAATTTTACAGATATTTCCATATTCTTCTAGTTTAGAGAAAGCACGCTCACATTTATTAATTTAATCTGATACATGTTGTAGCCTCCACAACTGATTCAGAACCTCTCAAACTTAAGTACAAATGTCTTAGTTCAGTCCCAGTGTACCGTCATTCTCCCCACAAATGCACAAGGTCTTTCTCCCATAAGCAAACCACTCAGACTACTAAAGGCACTGCCAAGCAGAACTTCATACTGGGGGAACACAGGTGACTCTACCACACAAGTAATACTGGCTCTAAGAGCTGGACAGCCTCTTAAAACAGTTTTCAGTTAGAAATCAGGTAAATGTATTTACCTGTTGTAAGAGTTGACAAAGAGATGAAGGTTGGTTTGATTCATGTCATTAATAATATGCTGACGGTAAGTATGGATCAGGTCATGGTTGCTGTGAATCTCATCCTACAGTGGAGACAGAATCATTCAGAATAGGGACTATTTTCTGAAGGAATCTGAAGACATGGCACAGCTGTTGTGTATCAGACTCACATCTACACAGCAGGAGTTTACCCTTAAGGAAGGGACAACTCTTAGCACCCACTGGTGTCACCCAGAATTAACATTAGACTTCAATTGCAGTACCGCATTTTTTGCTTTAAAACTTCAGTATGTTGTAAGGTCAAGATCTGACAATTACAAAACATGTAGTTGTAGTGCAGATGGTTACAGTCAGACAAGTGTGAGGTTTTAAAACAGAAAAAAAGATTTAGGATAAGAAGCTCAATAAAAGTTTCCAAGCAGATGTTGAAAGCTTACAGACACACGTAATATGGAACTCGATTTCACAATAGTAAATAACTAAGCTTCAAGGACTCCAATCACTAACATTTTCAAACAATTTGGTTCTAAAGTCTTTACAGATTAGTTCCTTCTTCTGTCGGAATGGAGTTTTCCATTGCATTTAGTAACAGTTTCAAGCACAGCAAAGTAACCTCAGAAAACAGTGTAGCACTTTCCATTACAGTAGGCTTGCACTGAAGAGCACCACTGTTACTAATAACCAGTTTTCCCAGAATAACAAGTATATTATGGTATAAAAAGATCTGTAGGGTAATTCTGCTGAGAACACGAGCACATACAACACTTAAAATCATGTTTAAGCGTTGGCTGTCTAAACAGGGAGCTGGTCCTATTAGAATTGTTGTGACTGAGATGTAATTGAGCTGTTAGGACACAGAAAGCCCCATACCACCTCCAAAATACTGGAAACACAAGTATGAATCCAACCTTACAGTATAACTTTGTACTTTGTTTAAGTGAAGGCTTCCCCCCTCCTCCCAGCCCCAGTAGATAAATACAGATGACTGAATACATCAGAGGAACCTTTTGAACATCCTTACCTTTCCAAAAAGATGTGAGATGACCATGTCTGGTAAAGCATTTGTCCAACCTGAAATCTGAACAGCAAGATTATCTCAGTATCTGATATTAAACCAATCCTTGAAAAACTGAAGCCTTTCAATTACCTGTAAGTAGATCAATGGATTTTTCTCTGCTGTCCTTACATGTGTAATATCCTGGACAAATATTTTTTCCCCTCAATCCAACCAAAACATCATTAGGGGTTGTTCACGATTCAGTCACTCTCATAAGATGTCTTTACTAATGCAGTTATATAGGGAACACACTACGAGTGATACAGGTATATATGGAATCACTCCCTGCAAGGATGCCAAGCAAACCAGCCAGATAGGTATCACTTAACCTTACTGCACAGCCTCCACCCTAACCACCTACACTGACAGTATGTTTGAGCTGGTACCTAAAGTTCATGTCCCCGAGTATGTGCTTTTGCTTTGGAAGGACACAAGGATACAGGACACCTACTCGACTCCTAAGATCAGCAATACTTAAGAGACTTGGAAAGTGGAAGCACAGATATGGAAGGATTTAATTACAGTGAGACGTTAGGTGAGATAATCAAAATGGGTCAACCGGTACTTCTCAATGTAGAGGAGTTACTAAATATACTTCCAGATCAAACTTACAAAAAATAAACTGGTATGCAAAGTTATTTTAAAAAAAATGAGTAACGAAGTCTTGAAAGAATGTTACATCCCCACTCTGGAAAAGTTTCCCCTAGTATTATAAGGTTGTCATTACATTTAATATTACCCTAGAAACTCACAATGGATTGACTCTGTGTGTGATTAAAAGATGATGCACTAATTGTTGTACTTCTCAGAGTGTTTATAACAACTGCCATTCATTTAAACACAACCCTAAATGACAGAAAGTGCCTTCTACCAGTTTAACCTGAAGAAAGTGTTATAACAGGTTAAGTTTGAGTGGACAATGATAGGACAAGAGGTAATGGGCACAAGCTGGAACACAGGAGGTTCCACTTAAATTTGAGAAGAAACTTCTTCTCAGTGAGGGTGACAGAGCACTGGACCAGGCTGCCCAGAGAGGTTGTGGAGTCTCCTTCTCTGGAGACATTCAAAACCCGCCTGGACGCCTTCCTGTGCAACCTCATCTAGGTGTTCCTGCTCCGGCAGGGGGATTGGACTAGATGATCTTTTGAGGTACCTTCCAATCCCTAACGTTCTGTGATTCTGTGATGTGTAATGTAACATTTATACTTATTTGTATATACTGATTCCAGTATGATTTTTTGGAAATCAGTTCTCAATGACTGTTTTCCCACATTGCACTCTCTTACAACAACAAAAGAATATAGCTAACAGGAGCTTCTTTGTACGTGAACATTTTCACTTAAAAGCCTGATTGTATGGACAATCTGTCCACAGTTACCATAGCTAATGTTCTTTTCTGAGACTTTTTGGCATCTAAAACTCAGCTAGATGATTGAAACCTGGAAGATGTTGTTCTGAACATTTTTCTGTACTCTAGTTCACATTTTGGACTCTGCTGGTAAACAAAGCCATGGACAAGAAAGAATAGTGTTACATTACACTTACATTTTACTTGAAAGAAAATTGTTTCCAAAACTACCCTGTGTCCAGGTTAAATCCGGTTTTCCCCAGCAGTGACCAGCTCTCAAGTATTGTCCATACCCAGGAGCTCCACTATACTATGGGTAACCGTTTCCCTGAAGTACTTATTTTTGTCACTAGCCCTACATGAGGTTTGTTTACAAACAGAAGAATAAACCTCAAAGGAATTAGCCTGGGATATTTGTGTGTCAAGGCATGATTGCAGACACAAAGTTTGCCCAACTCCTTGTACTTAACAGGCTCACAGTATGATTTAGTTTTCTAACTTAAAAATGTTTACCTTAGTTGCTGCCCAGTCCATCCAACCTTCGGCACAAGGGTTTACATTAATGAGAACTAATCCCTCCACCATCTCCGCATGGTTTAACTGCAAAATAAAAGATTTAAGATTCATCACATATAATTTGCAACTTCACAGTCAGCATAAAATTTAAGTTAGCAAATTATCTTCTGCAGAGGAAGGCGGTAGGTCTAGTTTTATCTTGCACAAAACAAGCATATATATGGAAAAAAAAATCATTAAAGCAATTCAACTGAGCAGCTGGAGAACATTAAGATTTAACTTCTTCTCCACCCTCAGTTTAAATAGAGAACTCCCATTAAAAAAACCTTCGGCAAATTAACTGGGTAGAGCCCAGGCCTTAAAATGGAAAATCTAGGTCTTCTGGATTAGCTATCCTGCAGATCGTGGTATTTCACTTAAAAGTCTCACTGCTTACTTAAATGGGCATGGCAGAGCAGGAATTGTCTGCACATGCTACGAGGGCAACAACATGTCAGGGAAATGGGATTCGAGGCTTTAGGGAAGGCTCCACAAAACTTACAGCAAATCTGGTTAAGATGTAGGCACCGGCTCCAGTTCCCATTCCTATAATGGACTTCAGCCTGCACAGTAACCAAATGGAAGGGACAAATGAGTAAGACAGCATCAAAAATAAAGCTGCATCAGCAGCCTTCCTCTTTCTCATGTCAGCATGTCTACAGAAGGCAGCATGTTTGCCTTAGCTCAGGCAAGCCGTGGACCTTCAGCAATATCACCAGCCTCTGTAAGGTGCTTGATGTAGTGGCTAGTTTGTTTTTGGCAGATTTGCAGGATGCTGGTCCTGGCGCATTTCAGGGCAGCATCACTTCTCACTTATCTTTAAATAAATATAGTGAGCAACCACAGCAATGTTCAGATCCAGGAAGGAAATGGTTACTCTGCCAAAAAAGTCCTATAAGACATAGTTCTGAAATCTGCAGCCTAAATACAAAGCCTCCACTCCCCAGCCCCTCCCCC